GTCTATGGCTACCTGCATCTGAGGCGAGTGCATCTACCAGTCTGAGTTGAGTACAGCTACCTATGTCATAGTAGAGTACAGCTAATTGTGTCCGAGTCGAGTACAGCTCCTGTCTCTGAGTCAAATACAGCTACCCACCTTGAGTCGAGTATAGCTACCTGTGTCTGAGTCGAGTACAGCCACCCACCTCTGAGTCGAGTACATCTACCTGTCTCTGAGTCAAATACAGCTACTTGTGTCTGAGTCAAGTACAGCTTCTAAGCTCCCTTGTAGCTTAACCTTTAATTTCAGTTTAGTACTTTTTGTTTCCTCAGTATCTGTATGGTTACAGGTACTATTCACTGGGTTCCTTCAAGCCCAGTTCTGTATGAACCAGCAGACAGAACATGAGGCTCTATTTTTTGGCTCATAAGATGTTCTAGTACATAAATACTCTTCATCAACCCTTGAGTTCATCCTTGAAAGAAGACCATCTCATCTTGAGGTGCCTACAAGATCAGAACTACATGGATCATTCTGCAGCCCTGGAGTGCTGTAGAGCAGGTGGTTGAACACTTAGAAACTAGACCAAACCCTGAGCCACTGAGCAGCAGTGGTTTCTCGTCGCTGGGCTGAACTTGGACCAGGGCAGTCTTGAGATTTGGTTTGACTTGGAACAACTGGATTTTGAAAACATCTCAACATATCTGTCCTCCCTGCCACATTACTTGGTGCTGTTTGGCCACTAGGCCCGTCTGAACCTGGCCACAGTGAAGAAACGACAGCAGCACTGCCATTGTGCTTCAGAAGGTGAGGAGCCTTGATCGTCTCTCAGCTCACTGATGATCTGTGAATGTGTCTTGTTTCAAACATGTCTTACATCCCTCCAGTCTTTGTGAGCTGCTACTGTTGGTTATACTGGATGTTTTAACACTTTAATATTTATTCAATATTCCTAATATTTATTTGACATTTCCTTAATGCCTTCTTGAGATGTTGTTTTGTAGACTGGAGTGTGTGTTTTTGTTATTGCACAGGTGTGTGTGGACATGTTGTATAAATGAGGGTGAATACTGAACTTTTCTGTACCTGTTTGAATGGAGGTAATATTTCTGTTATATGTTCAATTTATCTCAAAATGATAAGTCGACAATGAAATTCAAACCCAATTCCTAAAAGTGTTCCCTTGTCTATCTGAGATAATTCATCCTCATTTTAGCCCTGAAAGTAGATGAAGACAAACCAGTACAACTAATGTTAAAAAAAAACACTGTCATTGATGAAGAAGAATGTATTCAATATTGAATTTCTGTGAGTGGCAGCTAAACATTTTGAGTAATTGCTGATGAGTCCTGCTTAGAATAACTTTTCTGGGATTGGTAGATGTTTTCTCATGTAACGTCTCAACAAGTATTTACTATGAAATCTGTCTCTTAATCCGTCCAAACCACTGGATCTTTTAACCATCATTTAGTCTCATTTGCGGTCCTGAGGTACAGTGGTGCTTGAAAGTTTATGAACACTTTAGAATTTTCTATAATTCTGCATAAATTTAACCTAAAACATCATCAGATTTTCACAAAAGTTCTAAAAGTAGATAAAGAAAACCCAGTTTTTAAAATGAGACAAAAATATTAAACTTGGTCATTGATTTATTGAGGAAAATGATCCAATATTACATATTTGTGAGTGAAAAGTATGTGAACCTCTAGGATTAGCATTTAATTTGAAGGTGAAATTAGAGTCAGGTGTTTTCAATCAATGTGATGATGATCAGGTGTGAGGGAACACTCTGTTTGATTTAAAGAACAGGATCTATTAAAGTCTGCTCTTCACAACATGTTTGTGGAAGTGGATCATGGCAGGAACAAAGGAGATTTCTGAGGACCTCAGAAAAAGAGTTGTTGATGCTCATCAGGTTGGAAAATGTTACAAAACCATCTGTAAAGAGTTTGGACTCCACCAATCCACAGACTGATTGTGTACAAATGGAGGATATTTAAGACCATTGTTACCCTCCCCAAGCGTGAGTGCAGCTACGGCATACGCTCTCAGGACATTGTTACCTGCAGTGTTCCCTGAGTGAGGACTGAACTAGGCAAGAGGGCCTTCTCCTACTCCGCTTCTGTTTCCTGGAATATCTTACAAAAACATTTGAAGCTCTCGACCTTGACCTCTCTAAGTGGCTTTAAGAATCTGTTGGACTCCTGGCAAGGACCAATGCAGACATGTTCCTGTTTTTAGTTTTCTACATTCACCTTAGAATCTAGCTGTTTTTTGTTACCTTTTTTTAGCCATCCTATTTGTTTAAAAATAAAAAAAATTTGGAGTATGACTTTTTATAACTGTTTATTGTTGTCGCTGTTGTCCATTGTTGTCATCATTCTTTGTTGAAATCAGGTCTCTCTTGTAAATGAGTCCTCGAGGCTCAATGGGATTTACCTGTCTAAATAAAGGTTGAATGAATGAGTGGTGGACCAACAAAGATCACTCCAAGAACAAGGTTTGTAATAGTTGGCGAGGTCACAAAGAAGCCCAGGGTAACTTCTATCAACTGAAGGTCTCTCTCACATTGACTGATGTTAGTGTTCATGAGTCCACCATCAGGAGAACTCTGAACAACAATGGTGTTCATGGCAGGGTTGAAGGAGAAACCGCTGCTCTCCAAAAAGAACATTGATGCTCGTCTGCAGTTTGTTAAAGAGCATGTGGACAAGCCAGAAGTTTAGTGGAAGAATGTTTTGTGGACAGATGAGACCAAAATAAAACTTTTTAGTTTAAATTAAACATGTTTTGTTTGGAGAAAGGAAAACTCTGCATTCCTGCACAAGAACCTTATCCCATCTGTGAAACATGGTGGTGGTATCATGGTTTGGGCCTGTTCTGCTGCATCTGGGCCAGGACGGCTTGCTGTCATTAATGGAACAATGAATTCTGAATTATATCAGATGATTCTAAAGGAAAATGTCAGAACATCTGTCCATGAACTGAATCTCAAGAGAAGGTGGATCATGCAGCGACACAATGACTCTAAACACATAAGTGGTTCTATTAAAGAATGGTTCAAGAAGAATAAAGTTCATGTTTTGGAATGGCCAAGTCAGAGTCCTGACCTTAATCCAATCCAGATGTTGTGAAAGGACCTGAAGCAGCAGTTAATGTGAAGAAACCACCAACATCCAGAGTTTAAGCTGTTCTGTACAGAGGAATGGACTAAAATCCCTCCAAGCTGGTGAGCAGGACTGATCAAGTTACTGGAAATATTTAGTGTCAGTTATTTCTGCACAGGGGTGTCACATCAGATTCTGAAAGCAAAGGTTCACATACTTCTACCATTCACAGATCTGTAATATTGGATCATTTTCCTCAATAAATAAATGACCAAGTATAATATTTTTGTGTCATTTGTTTAAATGGGTTCTCTTTATCTACTTTTAGGACTTGTATGGAAAATCTGATGATGTTTTAGGACATATTTATGCAGAAATATAAAAAAATTATAAAACGTTCACAAACTTTCAAGCACCACTATATTTAACAAACTCCCCAGTGGTGGGACAGGATGTGTCCTGAGGCTCTGAAGGACCTGGATGTCGTGGGATTGTCATGGCTGACCTCTTCAGTGTCACTAAGTTGAAAAGAAAATGCTGGTGGATTTGCATGTCTGTTTTTAGAAACAGGGTCTGGAGAAGTGAAAAGAACTGGGTCAGGTTTGGGACCTCAGGTCAAAACTGGACATTGCCACATGGTAAGAGGTCACATTCACAGCATGTGTTGTGAATGACTCTCAGCTACTACCACCTCAAATTTTAGCTCACTATCTGCAAGTGACAGAATTATAGGTATTTTTATGCTTTGAAGGTTGGTTAACTGTGGCAGCCATCTTGAATCTAAAGGTTTCACTAAAATTTGTCTAGTGGTTCATGAGCTTTGCTAACTGAAAACATAACTTTCAGCTTTTTCTCAGTAACAATTTATGGACTGCTTGACTTGATTCAGTGGTTTTGTAGATTTAGTTTCCTTAGACCAACGTTCACTCAGGTTTTGATAGAACCAGTGACTAATTTTTTCTTCAAAGAAAACTCAAATGTACCCCCTCACTGCTCAGTAACACTGGATCAGTTTTAACTAGGTAATAAAAATAGATGACACCACTTCTCCTTTTGGTAAACTTATCTGTTTAAGAATTTTGGTGGAAAATATTTTGGTAATTTCTATTTAAGATTAGTATAAAACAATAACTGGGAAACTTTGAAAACCAGTTTGGATTTTAATGAGGTGTGTGTTGTCGTGTCAGTGTTGTGTTATGAAAGTTAGTCTCTCTGAGCTGCGACTGTTGGGCTGTAGTGACTTGAAATTGTTGGAAAACAGACACATTTTCCTTTACAGTCTCTGAGGGTTTGCAACAGCCACATTTTGTGCAGGGGCACTGCCATTGGGGGGCTTGTGGGGGCAATGATACCCCTAAAAAAACTGGCGCCGTTCTCAATCGTATGAGCGGTTCGGGCTGATAAGGGATAGATGTAGGGCAGCCGACTAGGGACCAGAAAGTTGAGGTTCGACTCCCAGACATCCCCACGTCGTGGTGACTCTGAGCAAGACACCTAATCCCTAATTGCTCCCCGGGGACTCAATAGACGCCCACTGTTCCACCTGGGTGTATCCCAGGTGTGATAGGTTAAATGCAGAGAACAATTTCGTCATTGTATGGGAACATACAATGATGACGACATATAGTACTTACACTTATACTTAGGTCTGTTCCCCAACTGGTCCCCGCCATCCTCACCCATTCAGACTAATGGTTTTGGATTCCCTTCCTGGGCCCTCAGAGGCATAGCAGTGGTTGGTTGACTTTACGTCATGCAGCCTCAGTCCTGTTATAAATGTCTTTGTTCAGCACTTAGTCACAGCCCAGTGAGACGCCAGCTGAAGACAAGTTGCAGACAGACCCGGACGGTTTGGGTTTCCACACGATCTTCACCTCATTCAAAATGACAAAAAAACAATCTTGTTTGATTTAACGGTGCTTGTTGCACACTAGTTTTAATAATATTAATTATTTTAAACCCACGTGTTTGGATTCTTTCTACATGCTTTGTCTTGATGATCACTGTCTTATGTAAAACCTGAGGATGAAGACGAGCTGCTGTTCATCTCATCCAGGTCTCTGCTTGTTCTACCGTCTGCTGTCACATTCAGCCTGACACATGTTGGCTTAATAAATTATTCCGCTGAAACTCAAGGAGTCTAGTATTCTTCCAGAACACACAAACACCAATAAATACAAAAAAAAAAAAAAAACTTCTGAACTCACATCTTTGCTCACCAGCTTCAGGTCCAAACTGTTCAAACTCAGAACATCCTGTTTATTTTTATAAATACTGTGAGCCTTTTTATTGTTCAGGTATAAAATGTAGACTGAAGCCAGGTGGTCCAGTCGGTCCAGCTCGGTCACATGTTGCTGACGTGATCCACCATCATGTTGGTGGACTTCCATCCTTCATCCAAGAGAAGAGAGACGGGCTGGAGCTCCTGTACAGCTCTGGTCCACTTGTCGGGGTCTCTGTCTGCTGGGTTTTTCCTCAGGTCCAGAACCAGTCCATGTGTGGGGGGGTGAGCTCGCAGTCTCTTAGCAAACTCCAGTAAATCAGAAGGGAGGACGAAGTTGGAGCTGCTCGAGAAAGAAGACAGAGCGTTCAAACAATCACCTGATTAAAGCAGGAAGTGCACGTTCAGTGGATTTAACAGTTAAAATAAATACGTAACAAATCTGACAAATTAAACACATTAAATCCGTCAGTGAAAGACACAGTGATACAAATGTGTTGGTCACTTTGACAACAATTGGAAAAGTATTTATAATATAAGATTCAAGGTTCTTTATTGTTATTCGCATCACGTGGTACATGAGGTGGAACAAATTTGTGTCTTCAAGGTCCCAGTTACACCCAAAAGTAGCAAAAATATAAAGTATAAAAAGACAGAATACAAAGATCTAGATAAGATATTAGATTAGATGTGGATAGATTTAAATAAATTGAAACTGACAAAAGTTTAATGGCAGCCCTCACTGTTTGTTCCATATTTTTTTAGTTTTTGATCATTGGTTTGGTTGAATATTTTTTAAACAAATAAAAACTGCATGGAGAAAAGAGAGATAGAGGACTTAGTTCAATATTTTGTAACAACAGTTTTTGCACTGACCAGTGCCAGCAAGCAATCTCTGGACTTCACCATGAGACATCTGCATGGACCAATAGGTCTTTGGTCCAGTCCTCCAGGACAAACAGTCTGAAGAACGATGATGGGAAACCTTCCAGATCTTTCCACAGATCTTCAACAAGATCTGGACTCATCAAGGTCCATTCAGGAACAGACCCAGTGCCGTTTTTCAGCGGTGTGGTTTGGATCATGTTATAGGACCCATGACCTGAGACCAGGTCAGTCAAGCACAGGGCCAACTTTTTTTGTTTCATTCAACCATTATTTAGACAAATAAGTCACATTGAGCCTACAAGACTAATTTACAAGTGAGATCTGTTTAGACAGACAGAAAGTAGTGAAAACTGGACAAATGTAGGAATTAGAAGCAAAAAAATTCCTATCAGATTTTTTTTTTCCTGCCTGAGAAGAAAAAACTCTGACATTAAAAAACACCTCGCACAAACAAGCACATAGTGACGTAGACATTCTGCAGAGGGGGATGACGAGAGTGGTGAACATGATCATAGATGCTCTCGAGGACACTGTAAGAGTTCTGATAAGAATGGGATAATCAGCCATTGTCCTCTGGTGAGATCCGTAAACATTCTCGAGTTATGTCGAGGAATGGCCAAGAATAACGTCTATGAGAATCCAAGAGTCCTGAAATGATGACACAAGTTTATTCAGCTGGTTTCATCTGGTTATCAGTTGGAAATTCCTCAGGGAGGGGGTGGTGAGCGTCAGATCACATGTTCTCCAGGTGAATTCAGATAAGATGACTTCAAGGCCAGCCAAGGGAGCCAAATTCAGATAAACACACAGACGTTTTGGGGACAGGCAGAACTTAATGACATCTACCATGAGTCTGTGTTGGTCGACTCGGTTCCTAAATGTCCACATTACATGGCCACACCAATGGAACATGACTGAGTAAAATCCCCAAGATCTGATCCATTCAGCCCAAAGCATTTGAGTCCAGGTACTCGAGACACAAACCAAGCCATCACAAGGCAAGCAGCGTGATCGGGTCCAAATTTGCTGCCGACAACTTCCTTGATTGTAGATAAAACCAGCAGCCAGCCAAATCCAAAAAGCAGGAACCAGTTATCGTAAATCCAATTAAATATGCGTCCTTACAACCCACAAATGGCAGCAGAGATAGACACATCATCAAGTCTTCAAGTCGATGAGATGTCCAGCTGCGTACGTGCCAACAGGGCAAATCGACTCGCCTAAAGCCTGTCTTCTCTTTGAAGAAAATGTTGTAAATTGAGTCGAGGGACCAACTGATCAAAACATGTCCATAATTATGGTTCGGAAGATATGCAAGAGAGGCTCAAAAGCGGTTTCACAGACAGAGCAGCAAAGCAAAGCGGAGAGGGAGGGGAGAAGCATCCGATCTCGGCAAGAGCAAGTGGTGAATGACTTTCTGACACTGGACTAGAGATTTCACTCCAGGAAGACTTGGTAGTCTGAAGAAACCGTTGCACTTTCAGAGATTTAAGGTTTCTAGTGCCAGATGCTGTCGACGGAATTTAGGTAAAGGTTTATGGATGTTTATCACTGTTAATGTTAAATTAATGTTGAACCGTGTGTGAGGTCAGAGAGTTCATTTTCTCTCTAGAGAAGAGCCTGCAGGCACCTGACACCTCCGAGTTTAAGAGGCCGAGGTCTTCATGCTGATAAGCGTGTATAAAAACACTTCCTGCAAACTGTCCGGGGCAGATCTTAGTGACCAGGACTTCAAAAACATCAGCAAGTAAACTGAGTGAAAAAATCTTCTATCTCCATGTGTGACTCGTTTATAAGTAGGTAATGAAAATATATTTTTATCCGACAGATGCCACAAAGCAGCCTCAAAACAAAACAGCCCCCTTTCTTTGAAAACTCTTTTTTTTCTCTTTAAACAAAGAACTGAAGTGACTGGAGCCAACAAGCTCCAGTTTTGTCACAGTCCCAGAAACAATGGTTCTGGTCAACATTCTAGTGAATTCTTGCTGGTTTTCGTGTTTTTCTGTCAGTCCTGGAGCCTCCTGGGTTTTCTCCCATCATTATGATTCAAAACGTGATGGATGGTGCGATCAGAAAGGCCAGAACTTTGACCTCTGAGTTCAGCTTGTGTGGTTTTCTTGGCATCTGTTTAACAACATACAAAATATCTGTCTGATCAACCTGGGGTTATAGTTCTTCTTGCGTCCACACCCTGGGAGGTTGTCTACAGGTGTAAGAGGACCAGGAAGCTACTTGGAGATGGCCTTGTATCCTTTACCTTTAACAAGGACATCTTTAGTCTCTCTGAGCTCCTCAGATAGCTCTTTGCTGTCTCTGCTCCATGTTCAACGTGGTGACCCAAACCAAACCAACTGACCCAGTAGCTGGAAGGACCGATGCAACATATGAATCTCCTGAGTTCCTACTGAAAGCCAGACTGTTAGTTTGACTAACAGCTTGGCTAGACTGCAACGACTAATCGTCTCTTCAAGGCTGGGGGCTGCAACCTGTGGCTCTTTGGTCCTTGGTCTGCAGCTCCTTGAAGCTTTGACCAAACATAATGTAAAATGTAAATTATTGGGTTTTATACCCACAGTAAAGGGAAATGGCAAATTTTAGCAGTTTTTCTGCAAATGTTTAAATTAAGTTAGTTAAAACAAGGAGAAAATAATGTTGAGTAGCTTTAGCTACTTCATCTAACTTCCAGCCTTAAAGTGGAATCGTTCTCTGAAATCCACCAGAAATTATTTGGAATACCTTTAGAACAAGTTACCTAGAAGAAATATGGTGAATAATTAATTGATTGATTAATTAATAGATTGATGGATAGACAGACGGACGGTAAATACAAAATTAAAATTAAAATTTTAATAAGTCACAAGATATGCAACAAAATGACCTAATAGTTAGACACACTTTAAATTTATGCTTTATTACTTTAAAGTGGGATACATTTTTTTTATTCTACAATTAAAAGGAAGGCTCATAATTCTAGAGTTCAAGGTTAAAAATATTTTGGTAAAATTGGTATGAAACATATATTTTGCCCCTTGTTACATGAATGTGGGCTTTTCTTTAGCCCTAAAATGTAAAAATATTCATAAATGTTAAAATTCATTATATAATTTTTGTTTTGTAAAATCAACCCTATTGGCTGGAAACAAAAACCCCTTCATACGAATTTGAAGTGGCCCATGAGCCACCAGTTGATAATCACCATTGTAGCAGGTTTTGTGGCTCTAGACATTTTGTTTAATAAGTGAAGGGTAGAAATGGCTCTTTGATCTAAAAGGTTGCAGACTCCTGCTTTTAGGAAACCAACTAATCTGTACTATTTTAACATATCTATGTAAATTAAATAATTAAAAAAATATATATATATATAAATTTTTTTTTTTTTTCTTTCACATTTGAGATTTGGCTGTCACATACTGCAGAAATCCAATAGATGGATAGATTTGAAGTGAATCACTTTTCAGGAGGAAAGCCTTGTTTCTAAGAGTTGTTGGAGGAAGAACAGATTTGTCATCTGACTCTGACTGATGTAAGAAGATCCAGTTCTTACCTGATGTCCAGATGCTTGACTGAGCTGGGAGTGGGTCCTGAGAACAGTTCTGCCAGGATGTAAATGTTCTTGGCTGTTGATACAGGCAAATATCACATCATGACAACAAATTAAGAAAAACTAACTATGGATGCAACAAATGACTAATTTCCAGGACATTAAAATGTGCTTTATTATGAAAACATTTCAGATAAATTTATCAGAGAGAATTTAAGTTGCATTAGTATTTGTACAATAAATGACATTAAAATGTTTTATAGAAACAACTTGAAGACAGTGGGGGTAGAATACGACCTTCAGCAGGTAACTGAACTCTGGCTGCTGTAGAACCGATCAGACCCTGAGCCCCAGCTTTTAATAACCAACAGGGCAGCATCAAACTTGATTCTCAGTCAGGTTCACTCTGATTCACATCTCCACCGTGAGACCAAAACATCTGTCTGTGAGCCAGGAACCTCCATCATGAGACCAAAACAT